AATCTATGGACTGCTTTCAGTTTTTTCTAAGAGAAGCGATAATACTGTCGATTAAAGAAAAAAATTAAGCAGATTCAGCTGAGCAAGTTATTTGACCCATTCGGGTATCTTTCAAAAAACAAGCTAAAATCAGAATGTTCACCCAAATAGATTCCTCAAAATTTTCTGCTGATTCCTCTTTAAAGGTTTCCTTTAAAAATTCTTGACTTGTTGTATAGAATTCTTCATTTAAGATCATAACAAAAAAACGAATTAAATTTTAAAGTGTACCTCGATTCATTGACTAATATTATCTTTTATGTGTGCGCACGTTTTCTTAGTCTGTTTAATCCAGCTGTCCTGTTTATGTAGATGAATACACTGTCATTTTGTAAAACATCCTCGAAGGAAAATATTTTGCTCGCAGAAGTAGATATATGCTCTTCTGTTGCTATGAAAGCACTGAGAAAAAGCTGAAGTAGAAAACTGAGCCAGAAACGTGTACCAGAAAAATCATTTCTGTAAGCCCCAAACGTGTAGTCGAAAATTATCTTCGGATGGCTCTGCATGTGAAATCTTGAGGCTGGTCTTGAAATCCTAAAGTTCGTAGAGTTATTAGGACATTTTGAAGCAGGAGACATGAAATGTCAATGCCCTCACAGGGAGACGAACCTAGACTCTCGAATACGCGCCGAGTGTGGTACCTTTACACCTCGAAAGCATGCAGACAGGAAAAAGAAAACACCTTATACTGGTGATGAAGAATCATTATTCACCACCTCTTAGTTAGGGTGCCACTATAAAGTCATCAGGTATTATTTTGAAGCAGGAGACATGAAAATGTGCAGTGCCCTCGCCGTGACTCGAACCAAGATCTCTCAAATACGCGCCGAGTGTGTTTACCGTTACACCACGAAGTCATGTAGAAAGGAGGAAGAAAACACCTTATATAATCAATCCCCCTTTTAAAAGGTGATTGGGTATTAGGGGATCCAATCGCCTAATCTTTGTGATGAAGAATCCTCATTCACCACCTTTTAGTTCCACTATAAAGTCATCAGGTTATTTTAAAGCAAGAGACAAAAATGTGCAGTGTCCTCACCGGGACATGAACCTAAACCTCTCGAATACGCGCCGAGTGTGCTACCTGTACACCTCGAAGGCATGCAGACAGGAAGGGGGAAATAATTTATAAGTTGATAAGGAAACATTTGCATAACCTGTGGGTGCCTCTCCGACTGACATTTTGATCTTTTGCCCTTTCAAATGATAATATGCGAATCTTAGTGCCACTAGCTCTTTACTATTAGAGAAAATAAGGTCTAACTATTTCTTTGAAACATCAATAGTAACCATGGATGAACTGACCATGAATGTCAGATTTGGACTTCTATGTTACTTAATCCGAAAAGATCAATTAAGATTATAAAAACTCCATACAAAAATGGATTTGGTGTTTTCTAAAATCTTGAAATCTATTCTCAAAATCTTCTGATAAGATATTAATCAAAGTCATATATATATATATATATGTTTGTAATTTGTTACATGGTCTTTATAAAGCTCTGCTGTTTGTTTATTATGAATATTTTCAATTTCAATTAAATTTTCAACACCTTTTTTTCTTAAAAACAGCATTTATTAGGTGTTTTTGGTATTAGAAGCGCATGTTCATTTTGTGTAAGTGAGCAACAATGAAAAACCTTCGATTCAGTTCTCAGTTTCAAATTCAGTCAGCATCGCATATTTTCATCTTTTTATTTGTTTATTGCCATACTACGTGAGACGGGATTCAAACATTATTATTATAGTCTCAAAGTATCAGTAACCTTGTAAAGTGTATTTTAATTTTATAAGAGTTATTTTTGATTTTGAAACCCTTTCCTTTCAATTCTTGTTTCCCACTTACAACTCCTTACCAGAATGAATTTTTAGAATCGCGTTGAATGTAAATGAGGTTGAAGGAGTATTTAAGAAAAGTTCAGCTTGCATTAGTAGGAGAGCTTAGGAGTCCTTATTGGCGCGCTTTTGCCGTCAAGCTACTTCGTTATTAAATCTACTATGCTCGGCCTCATTGTGCGTGCCTATTGATAATCGCCTGCTAAGTTAAATTAAGGCCAACTACGTTAGGTATCTGTGTCTAGCTTCAGCTAATTAAGTTTAGTTTAGTATTAGATTAGTTTCTTAACTGTATTAGCTTATGGTCACTCGGTTTGAAGGCTTCCCTGTACGCCCGAGAAAGGATCGTCTCTAAATATTTCTTTGAGTGAATAAAAGGGTATTTTAACCCTTTAAATTGTCATTATATGCGTGGATGCGTGGATCCAGCGTTAAGTCACTGCACAGTTCACTAGGTTGATCTACGTTCAACATAGTCCAAGTAGCGAGGACCATTAAAACTTTTAAGTTTCTTTAAAAGCAATATTCATGCGAGTGAACGCTGTCTACTGCTAACATTCTAAACTAAATTGTCTGTTTGTTAAAATATATGTGAATGGTACTTTTCTTTTCCGTAACTGTTTTGCTTAATTACAGTGTTACTTACTGTCTTGAATCTTGAATCCAACACAAATTGTCGACGAACATAATATTTCTTTTCCTTGCATATTATAATAATACTATACCATGGCTTAAAAATTATGTGTTCCATATATTTTGAAGGACAGTATATGCCGAATTTAAGAGAGAAAGATACTTTTTTAAAACGATTGAATTGTAGATAAACCGACAAAGAACAAATTTTCAATTTTAATGTAATTTTAATTTATTAACTATTAATATATAACCATTACTATAAATAAAAAGTTAAAAATTCGTAAATTTTTACAGTTATTTTACATAATAATGCTTAAAATGAAAATTACGGTATTGTTACAAAATGAAAAGTAATATTGCTTTAAAATAGAAAAATTGTTAAATTTTACTTGTTTATCACGCAAAACTATCATTGTGGTTATGATACTGCTTTCTAATATATATTTGAGGGAAATGAAGCAGGAGAGTAGCATAACAGATGAAGTTTAATGAGACAAGCCTGATCATGGTATAGGATAGTCTATGGAATGCATATTTTTTATCTTTCTTAATTACGACTGCTGCCAAGCTGTGTGTTTAGCTTTGCTAAATTTTCTTGCATATTCTAGCTGCACATCAGTTATTAGGTCTATTTCTTCAAACCCAGAAAAATTGAAAATACTAATTTTTATTTCCGCCATTTCTAACTGACATATTTCATAGCCTAGTATTTTTTACTAAGATGCTATATATTTCTTTTTGTTTTCATGAATACTAAAGCACAAATGGCAAAATCTGCAGTTCAATATTGTGTATAGAATGTTTCTATAAGCATAAAGTTTAACTTTCATTAGAGTTCTTTTAGAGTAAAAATTATAAATAAGTAACAAAAAAACGGTGAATACCTTGAAGATTGTAATAATTGCCTGACTATTTAAAGCGTGATGCAATATGGTTTCAAAAATAAGTCATTTCAATATTCAACATGTAAATTTTCAACATTTTATGATTTCTGAGAATCTGAGTGAAATTCATATTATAATAATTTAGTGTCACTTTTTCATAATGAAACTCGGCGACGTCAAAAAAACAAGAAAGCGCCAAACGATATATTGGCGAGGTGGATTCTACCTATGTTTTTCAGATGATGATCTTATAAAGATATTGTCTTGACACTGTATTTGTGTTTCATTGTTTTCAGCATTTTACCTTCACTTTATGGAATATACTCCTGTTGTTATTGCCTAATATGTAACCCGAAAGATATTTAAAACTTATAACTTCTTTATTTCAACACTTCGATTTAAAAGTTTTTAAAGACTGTTAACTTTAATTAACTTTGCATTCTATTTATATCCTACCTGAGTTAAGCTAACTCTCTAACTTGTTAAATAAATATTTCATAGTTATGACTCTTTAATGAAATTGTGCTAAATAGAGTATAGTGTATTCAAACGCCATAGTTGTATTAATTGCACGACATATCAATTCATTCATATTAAGACCAATTTTATTAATTTAATAATTGGTCTTTTATTAAATATGCTTTGCTTTATTCGTGTAAATCTTAATTTGATTCTGTTATCAGAATATTACACTAAACAAAAGAATGATAATCCAGATTTAAACTTCATAACTTGATTTATCTTGAGAATAAATATCAAATTTCATTTAAGAAAAGGCTAATGTTTAAATGGTGGTTTCATATTCTAAAATATACAAAACTGAAAAAACAAATTTTTTTAACTTTGAATTTTTCGTCTCACTTTTATATTTAAGTAATACCAACAAGCCGTAGATAAATTTAAATCAAGAATAAACAGTTAAAACTCCCATGTGATTCACAAGATGAATCTATTTCAAAACCGTCCCATAGTTAGCATACGAAGAATTTTAACTAAAAATACCGCTGTAAATATTTTAATGCATTAAGCTGAAAACTTTTAGCGTCCTTCACAAGCCACCTATTCAATTATACATTTGAATTGAAATAAAGAAACTGAAACAATCCCTTACTTTCCAAATCATGAGACACAACAAAGTACTCTTTTTATTCATAATACGTAAGAAGTTAAAATTAACAAAGGTATTGAGTTTAGAAGTTTAGAAGTATACACGATCTTTAAAAATGCCTTATTAATTTTTCGGCCAAAAACATTTTTTATGGCTTTTGTAAATTAATTAATTCTTATTGAACCATTTTTGAAGTAATCCTAATTATGAAATTTAAATTCATAAACTAAATTCAATTTTGTCTTTTTTAATTTGTTGCTAAAACTTCTTATAACTTTTCAGAAAACATTATTAAGTGTTTCATATTATTACACACAAATTTTAGAATTCAGGTGATTTTAAATTTGTAAACAAAAATTCAGATACTGAAACTTTAAAACCTTCTCTACCAAATGTTGTGAAAAATTCACTGATATTTCACATTCACTTACTCAATAACCTCATTTTTCAAAGCAGGACTGCAAGAAAATTACTTTAATAGTTAAGAATCTTACCTGCAAGCATGCTGAAGCAATTGCTAAGCAGGTTAAAAAGAGAGTAAACATGTTCACTGTACTACCTACTGGGAGCAACTGAGGTCGGAAAACGTCTGATAGCGGACGGGCTTTGGTTTCCGGTTCTTAAGCGACCTCGAGCATGCCGGCCAATCATAACAACGCATTAGAAAGTCGTCTGCTAAATCTGATAAAAGTCTTCACGGCAATGAAAATCCATGTCATAAGTAAGATCATCCAGTCATGGTCAAGGAAATGCTTAGATAAATAATGTTAAACGGTTTCTAGTATAATGTATACCTCTACGTGTTTACTTAACTTCATCAACTGTATTATCAATTAAACTGTAAATATAAATACGCTTACTGACAAAGGAGATTAGAATATATTCTTTGGAAAACTTTCGTCATCCCATTAGCATGTTTAAAACAGAAATTTGTCATTAATTTTATTATTATAATAATCACCTTTCGACTTCACTAGTTGCGTTGTATCTTGATTTCGTAACAAACTTCAACATTATTTCTTTAATATCACAATAATTGCTGTACTTACCAGAGTTACCATATACATTGGTACTTCGGCATACGTTAGCTTTGAAATACGTCCAACTTGGTTTGCGTCCTATATGAACACGAAATTGTTTGTTTGGGATATGCTATTTGTTTGGAATACGACTAGAGTTCGAGCTGTCATGAATGTGAGCACTACACGTGGTCATCTCTTTCGAAACAAATGTTACAATTGTCCATGAACATCAATACGCCAGTTGCTACTATTCATTAAACAACCTGAGCAATAACTCAGGATTTTCAAGTGTTTTCCTGCAAGTTTTGAAATAAAAATATCGATCAGTTTTTCTCGCACAGGAGTGAAACTTCTTACAATTTAATTTTTTCATAACGATTATAAGGCTTTCCCAAACATAAGTACAGAAAACGGGAGACCGCATTGAAATTTAAATTTCGTTATTATTTGCAAAAAAAATCTTTTTGACATCACCAAAACAGAATATTTTCGTCATTTAAAACAGTTCCGTAATTGGAAGTATATGACTTCGACCAACGATTGCGAAAATATGGACCAGGTAGGGACTTTTAACCCATTAACCGCCAAAACTATAAGGAATGTTTCTTTTCTCATGCCCTTAACACATATTAAATAAGCGTTATCAAAATTCATGCAATTTAAAACCGGCTCTATGTGAAAAAGGTGTTGCGTTCGCGCAAGTCGCGGAATAAGATACGGATGTTTAGTGAATAGGATTGTACTCGTGAGATGTTTCTTTTGAGTGGAGCGCAGAATTATGTTTTAGCTATATAACGTTTTATAAATCTACAAATCACTTTACTTGTAATAATATTCAATTCCTTGATTCTTTTAAAATACGATTATTATTGAAGATTCAATATGCAAAGTTGTTACATTTGATGTAAAGTACTTCCTTCTTGCCTGTAAAACATCTGGCTACGGTACTTCTTTACAGAGTCTTTGTTTACAGACACGTTAAAACGACGATAAAGGCCTACTATCTCATGCATGGTTTTGAATGTGAATTTACTAAGCCTCGTTGCTGATCTATCTGGCTAATTTCCACTCTCATAGGAGTTTGCAAAGGAATAGTAAAGGTGTTTTAAGTTAGAAAGGCTACCCTATAATTTATCAGTATTGTCAATTTGCTATTGTCCAATGCAAATTCTGTCGATTCTGTACTGAAAACGTGATGGTAATTCTCGTGCAACAGGTACAGAAAATCCTTATCAAAAGACAAACATTTTCCTTGAGGTAAAGAATATATCCGTAACAATAATTTCCAATAATCTTATATAGGCACAGATGAATAAATTCTGAGCTTTGTTTGAGGTATATATTTGTCGTATGTCTAAACCAAATAGAAATCGAAAATCTGTGCACTAGTTTTACCTGTGTTTTGACTTTTATCATTCTCTTTATCTTTCTTCTGTTCTTCCTGTGACATAGCTAACATTAATTTTTTATCCACTTCAATTTCGTTCTTTTTATCCTTTTTAGTATGACTATAACTGCTTGTAGAAGGCTGAAACTTACTTCTTACGTGAATTTCAACTCCCCAGCAGATCATTTGGTAAATGCGTTATCATTTAAACATTGCCAGTCCTTTTTCTTCACTAGCCCTGCAATTCTGGGGGAACAATAATAGATCAGCTTCATTCTGGTCATTATTAACATTACCATCATCTGTTTCTTCACCAAAAAATTTTGAAGGCTTTTTTAAGATACGTTCTAGCATTTTAAAAACCAAACATGAACCAGAACATCGAAAGAATGAAGGAAAAGGAGATTGACTACCCCGTTTCTGCTACGTTGCGTAACGCAACACCTGTTTTCCCTTCCTTTCCACCAATATAAACATCTCAATGATGTAATGTTCTAAAAAACGGTGACCTTGACTAAAATAATCCCATAAAGACGGGATCGTCTTTAAATTTTTCAGGTAAAAGATGGTCAAAATTTCTTCAATTTGCTTAAAGTAGGAGATAATATTATAAACAAATGATTGTGTGAAGGCCATATTTTTTACAGAAATATCTCAAATATCAGAACAAAAACATCTCTGGTAAAAAGATGTTAGGTGTTATATTTATATACGCATTTATTTTGACCGTTGCGTCAACGCAACACCAGCGGTTAATGGGTTAAGCCGGATAAGGGGGTCGGTATATATACAAATACGTATATATATATGCATACAGATCCTGGGTTCTGCGGATTGCAAGAGAAAAGAGAGGTGCACAACTAGATGTTATAGCAGTCCCATATACAAAATTTTAATGCTGTACGGCAAATATTTTTTGGGTTATACGAAATACATATATACATTTGTAAGCACTGACATGAAGACATCACGAAGAAATATCATTTGAATCCATTTTGGAAACTGTTTTGCAACAAACAGTCCTTTATGCTGTCAGTCGTACAGATATGTCACGCAAAGTAAAGGGCCAGTTAACTTCGGAAACATTCAAAAGGAATATTTCTACTGAAACATAATAGTCTTAAATTTTTGCGATTACAATACTTGGTTTACCTTACAAGGAAGTAAAAAAGTCGCATGCATGAAATTTAGAGAATTTTCTCTACATAAAAATATTTGATGTGGACACCCCATGACTTCCATGTACAGCCTATTAAATCGTACACAATTTTGCTTCATTTAATTTAAACTTATTTCCTTTAATTTCATTAGAAATATATTTTTCATCCAAACAGTTCATTTCTCCCTTCGCGGCAAGGCAAAAATACATAAAATTTAAAATATCTTCATTAAAAATTGCAAAATGCAGAGAAATCTAAAACATCAAATACAGTTAAAAACAGTTTAAAAAATTGTTGCAATTAAATTTAGAGTTTGTACGCAAAAACAAGCTATTCGGCCAGCGGGATGGAAGATAAATTGTTTTGGTGCACATAGCTGAAAATTTACTTTTGGTACCACTCGGCAAAAAGACACTGAAGTTGGTGCATTAACTGAATTTATTATTCTTCAAAATAAAACGAATGGCGGCCTCGGTAGACTTAGTACCTCTTTAACAATTTTTAAAATGTTGATAATTCTACAACTATTGCATGTAGATTAACTAAAGGCATAAAAACCTTAACCGGAACATAAGAACAACATAATTCAATCACTTTTAAAAGAAAAAATGCATAATTTACTAACATATAAGAATAAAAAAACAGAGTTCAGCTCACCGAACCGGGTAGCAGAATGAATGTTGTGGCCGATTGCAACCAAATTTGCATATATATTGCACTAAATATCGAAACACTGACTTCGAAATTTTTTCTAATGCATTATGTATTCTGTGTTTTAAACTTTGATCGTTGCAAAATAAATAGCATTAAAATATTCCCTGCAGTAAAATAATTTGTTCACATGTGTTAATCAGTAAAAATAGATCACTCATAAAGACGGCGAGTCCTTCGTTAAATATTTTCAGCAAAAAGACCCGGTCAAAAATTTTGCTTCAATTTTGCTTAAAGTATGAGATTAATTATTATAAACAAAATGATTGTTGAAGGCAAATATTTTTTACAGAAATAATCTTCATAATATTCCTTACACAAAATCATCTGCTGGTAAAAAATATGTTAGGTAGTTATATTTATATACGCATTTATTTATATACACATAATAATTCCGAAACTCCAAATTTTTGTTGAAATGTTTTAGTTCACAATGCTTCTTAATATAGTTTTTTATTTTAAATGAAAACACATCACAAGAAGTATCGCCTGCATTTAGAAATTTTTACTTGTTTAGCAAAATAAATTAGCAGTTCCATATCTGAAGTAAGCATGGCAAGACGCTAGAAACTAATAACAAATTCTATTAAAAATGTAATAACTCATCTTTTTAAAGTTGTCAAAAGTATTCCAAATTTCCGAAAAACACCTTATGGTATAAAGCGTTTAATTATCTCTGATGTAATAAAAAACGAAAATTTCCTGGCACTATCGAAAATGCACTGGAGTCTGGAATACATTCCAACCTAACACCAAGAAATCACAGATTTGTTTTATGAAAAATCAAACAGCATCCAAAATCTAATAATTTAAAATATTCAGAAAATTTAGAATATCAATTTGCAACAAAATTTAACTGTTGGCAACCGACGTCGATTTCCCTAGCGCATGCGCATGATAAGCAAGTTCTCTGCTGCGTAATACTTATACTTAGTAGGCAGTTAGCCAAAGTCAATGGTGAGTAATGCATGTAAGCGAGAAGGGCTAAGCGCTGTGTAATATCATGTTTCTACTCTGCTGTTCAACGTCGTCTTCGTAGTTTAAATAAATGTTTGTTATGTACATAGAAGACGTCATTTTATTCTTCATTAACCTTTAAGCTTTTTGAAGAGTTATTTAGAGCACATGAATACAATGGGTGATCAGAGAGAAGAAAATTTGTCGTCAATAAGAAAGCATGGAAAATACATCTGACGTTCGCAAAGCAGATAGCAAGCAAAGTTTTATCATATTTGAACAATGTTATATTTGCAGAAAAGTCAAAATGTAACATATTTGGTTCTTGTAGACGATTTAATAGATGTCAAAGCCTGAATTAAGAATCGCATTCAAATTAAGAATTGGATTCGAAATTCTGCGTAATGT